AATTTTTTTTTTTTTTTTTTTTTTTTTTTGAGTTAAGAATCTGAAGAGAGATGTATAGAAAAACATAATCTTGAAAAACATTTAATCTAATAAACCAATTAGACTCCTTAAATTTTGTAGCGTGTCAGATTGTTTAAATTTGGGGTTTCAGAAATAAAGCATTGCAGACTCAAAATTAATCATATACTAAATATATTAAAATGTCAAATCAATAAAAAAACAAAATAATTATATTAAAAACATTTTTACAAACATTCATTTACAAAATGTGTGATATACTGTACTATACATATCACCACCATATTAGTTACTTCCACTGTTCTTTTGCATATCAAAGAAAAATGGATATAATAATGTTGTAGGCATATTATTTTGAATAAAATTGCAATTTATTGCTTTTTATATAGCTGTAGAATATTATGCTATTCTAATATATTTTAATATCTTGCAATACAGCCAGAATCATTTCTTTAATAAACAAACTTGTAATAATAACTTTAATATTAAAATTAAATAACTCAAATAAAATAATTTGAATTAATATAGAATTATGAAAAGTAACTTACCAATTTTGTATTACTAGCTCTAAATTTAATAAACCATGCATTGAAACTTAAAGCTGAAATAATTGGCACCAGATCCCTATTTAAAAAATGTTTCATTATATAAAGTTTTATTCAAATATTATATTTATTATTTATAAACTCAAACACAGACACACACACATATATAAAATGCAGTAAAAACCTGTAAATCAGAATTGCATATTACCACATTATTTTTTTTATTTTGGCAGGTTTCTGTTTTGAACAGGTTTTTTGAGTATTTTTTTTTTTTATTAACTTCTTCATATTAACTGAAAGAATAATAACTATGACTAAGTACACTAATCAAAACCTTGACAATCCCAGTAAATAACAATGTAAATTATTTACTGGGATTGTCAAGGTTTGATAGGTGTGCTTAGTTATTTCCTTTTTATCTTTAAACTATACCAGATAAATTTCACACAGTTGCATTCATTTTTATAGTAAAAGCACTTTTACCATAAATAAATAAAAATTATTACTAAGCTTAATCCAAATTAATCCAGTAATTCCAACTAAAGATGGGAGTATTTGAATGTAAGAATTGAGAACTATTCAACTGCAAAAACATTTTTATTACTTCCTTGAATTTGTGCTAGATATTTGAATACATATCAGACAAGATTCTTATGAGCTCATGTCATAAGAATCACATACTACTGACCCAAATATAACCAAAATTGTTTGATTAAAGCCAATGCTGATGAAAATCAATATTGATCTAAACTGATTAATAATACAGTTATTGATAATCAATAAAACCTTATTTTTAAACTTAATTTTTTGTTATATTTATAATCAAAACATGCTTTTTTATATTTTAATCACAAAAATATACAATTTGTATAATATCTAAAATTTATAATTATATTACATTGAGTAATTACCATATTACTCAAATGTAAGATACAATTTTTAGGTTTTAGTAGCTCTGAAATAGGATTCATCGTAGATTTGATGTAATATATCAAAATTAGTGAGCTCCAGTGGTATGTGTTTTATTTGTTTACCACTAATGCCATTTTTTTTTATCATTTTAATGATTTTATTAGACCAATATTTGTAACTGTAAATATTTAAGAGGTCAACTTGACTCAATCTTATTAGTCTACAGTACTACAATAAATACTTGGATAAAAATCTCAGAAAAAGTTGCGCAGTACTCTTTCAAGAAATGCTGCATTTCTGATGCTTTAAGCAGCACTGAGAACGATTGCATGTGAGAATGATTGCATGCAAGGCCCTTCTGGGTCACTTGATTTAATGCATTAAATCAAGTGTTGACCCAGAAGGGCCTTACATGGAAAGTGAAGAGGTTTCCAACTTTGATACCATGTAAAAGTGTAATATAGAACTTACTTCACTGTGCAATAAATGCTGGACAAATTTATGTCAATAGACTGATTCTATTGATAAATTTATCTTGAGTCATATATCCTTTTAAAAAATGAAAATCCATCGGCAAGAATGTAGAAATTAAGGAGTGTCTTATATTGTTGATATATTACGTTAAAAAAAGAAAGTATTGTACAATCCAACCTTCTTTTAGGAGTAAAATTATTTATTCAAAAGTCTTAACATGTAAAAAAATTTTTAAATATTTTATTATTCACCATTAAATCATATTTTATTAATATTTAGTAGAATATATTCTCAAGAAAAAGAATGTATTAAAACACAAAAAATTTTTTATTTTATTATTTAAACTATTTTAATAGAATTAAATTTCAAATAAGAAATATTTAAAAATATACATATACAGTGGAACCTCGCTTAACAAGCATAATTCGTTCCAGAATCTTACTCATAATGCGAAACACTCATTAAGCAAAACAATTTTTCCCATATAAATGTAAAATATGATAATGCGTTCCACACTGAAAAAATACTCAAATATTTTATGTACAGTCGNAAGTGGAAATCAAATACAGTCGACCCCCCATAACACTGTTGATTATTCCGTTTTATATGAATTCCATGTTATACAAGTCACTTAGATTTTACAAATACGTGTGCTGGGCTGTGAACGGCTCACACATTTGTAAAATCTAAGTGACTCGTACAACATGGAATTCATATAAAATGGAATAATCAACAGTGTTATAGGGGGGAGTTGACTGTATAACGTGTATTCAAAAGAAATTTTACTGTATTTAATTATAGCCTTTACATAGCCCAAGAATTTGGCTTATTATTTGATGTGTTTATTATATAATGGGCTATGGTTGTTGATGTTTATATGTAATATGTCTGAACACAAGTTTGGAAAATGTGTGATCACAAGCAACACTAAGGGTCAAGTTATAAACTCTGTAATGTAACTGTATGGTTGTACTGTATTCGGTAAGAAAAGTTTGAATTGACCAAACTTACGGTAGGGATATGGCGAATTGACGAACTGCACATGCGCTAAGTCAGTCGCTATACAATCGGAAGTTGTGCAGGAAGAAACAAATTGGTTGAAACATATCTTTTGACTGACAATGCTACTTCTGAACAACATAAAATTTTAAGATAAGAATTACTTTGGTCATAAAAAAATAGAAAAATGAATAAATAATTATAGTTTTAGATCTGGCAACATCAGCCAATGATTTTGTGCATTCTCACGATGGACTGCTTCGTAAGCCATAAAAAAAAGTTTGTTCCATAAAGGATAAGGAAACAGCCTTACTGTATTTTATAACTATTGCTATAGATATTCAGTGTAGCAAACATTTACGAATACAGATATGGTTATGCTACAGAGTTTATAACTTGATCCTAAGATGCTAGCAGAATGAGTGCTAAACACAGACTGATGGCGCATACTCACAATCCGGGGACTTCACCTCTCCTCATCACTCGTTATGCGAAACATCACTCATTAAGCAAGTCATTTTTTCACAATTTATTTTGCTCATTATGCAAAATACTCATTATGTCAGGTGCTTGTTAAGTGAGGTGCCACTGTACATATTACATATAAATTGAAATTTACCTTCCTTCTAGATGATCAAAATCTTGGAGAGACAATTCTTTACAATCATGAGATAAATAAATGGTATCTACATCCTTAAAAATTTTAAAAATTTTCAATTGTTAAAATTTAAATATAATGAAAAATCCTTAATATCATAAGATATAAAAACAAACATTTTATGTAAATAATTAATAACATAAAATTGATCTAAGATATTTATCAAATTGATATTTTTCTTGTTAAATTAATAGTTTTATTTTGACAAATTCAAGATGCAATAAAAAGACTGATTTATTTTCATTCTAGATGGTAGCTAAATTCATATATAATCATAACTTACTTTATTAATCTAAATTGTTCCTGAAAACCTTTTCAAAATGTAAAAATTTGTAAATTAAAACCACAAATTCTATTATTCTGCTATGGATAAAATTCCAATTTGTAAGTAATGCTCTCATAAATTCTATTTTATCATAAATTATCTCAAAACTAATTAATTTGATTCTTTATTGTATAACTAGATAAAAAAATTGGAAAGTAAGAAAATGATTTGCCTAGCTTAGGCTATTCAGATAATTAGTGAGCTTTAGAAAAGAATAAAAGACAAATTCATACATAAAAGAAAAACATTGCTGAAAACATTTTAATACTAATTTAAATGTACAGTACATAATAAGTCTCTGTTTTAAAATCAAGCTTAAATATCTACTTACTTTTACAAGAAAACTTTCAACACAAAGAAATAATGAAAAAATAATAATAAATAAACTAGAAAGATATTTAGTTTCTTTTTTACTTTCCAAAGAAAAATTATTATTTAGAAAAATTAATCTAATTTTTAAGCTCTAGGTCAATAGGCTATGTAAGTGAAGGTGATCATTGAAACAACAGAAAAACTGCACGAAATGAATTGGAATTATTTAAAATTCCTTAAATTTTTCAACAGTGCTTTCTGTGGATGAACATAGATTAATGTTGATGTTAAAGATTGATAATAGGTCTTTTCTTTAAAAAATCAATGATCAATGTTTTTTACAATCTTTCATTTTGCATTTATCCAAAAAATTAAAGTTCATATATTTCTTGCAAACTGATGTTCAAATTTTAATTCTTTTTCAAGACTGTTGCAAACTTGTTAATGATACTTAAATTTTTGTAAATATTAAAACAACTTTTTAAGAATTCCAAGTCTAACTTTTGTACGCACTGTACTATCATCATTACTCCTTCCTTTCTTCCTCCATCTCACTCTCCATTATTGTTGTTCATATACTGTGGACAAAATTATCAGATTGGGTTTTCCCCAAAGTGAAGATTTTACTAATCAGTTGGAAAAAATGCAGAGACATTATTAATAGAAAAAATTTGGAGAAATTCTATATTTTTGAAGGGAAAACTGAAGAATATATAATTATTTTATTTAATGATAATTTATCTTATTAAAATAATAATAATTTTNCGATTCTTGCCCAGTAGCTTGTTTGACAGTCAACTTATCCTACAGCAACCTACGGCAAATATGAGTTTGAAATTCTGTTTGTGGACTGATTTGTTTGAAAACCAAGGTTTGACTGTATACAATTTGTACTACATTTTAAATTAGCTTTTTCTTTCAATTATTTCTACATACCCCAGTATTTTATTGTATTTCATTTACTATAAGCTTGTCTAAATGAATAAAGTTTTAATTAAACCTGTTAAAAAGTCTATAATTTTGTCTTTAATCTAATGCATTTCTTAATTCTGCTCATTGTGTATTTACTTTTTTCTATAAAATAAAAATTATTGTTTTAATGCAATACAAAGAATAGTTTAGAACCCAAAGAATAGTTATTAAAATTTTCAGATATGATTAGTATATCAAAAACATTATTAATTGTTTTGTTTATGTTTTCAGTATTAGCAATTATTGAAAATTTTAAAAATGATTTATAAATAATAATGCTATTATTAGAATAAGCGAATGAACGAAGAGAAACCATTTTTATAAGAAAAATTTCACATAGTTATATTAAGTAACATTTAACTCGACTCACCAAGCAAACACCATAAATACTTTTCTAGCAAACATTTATTGTAAAAACAAATGTTTT